ATATATATATATATATATATATATATATATAAAGAAACAATTGATAAGCTGGACTTTATTAAAATTAAGAACTTTTGTTCTGTGAGAGACAATGTCAAGAGAATGAGAAGATGAGAGAAGATATACAGATGGCAAGTAGGCTTATGAAAAGATGTTCAACATAATATGTCATTAGGGAATTGCAAATTAAAACAACAATGAAATACTACTACACACCTATTAGAATGGCCAAAATCTGGAACACTGACAACACCAAATGCTGGTGAGGATGTAGAGCAACAGGAACTCGCATTCATTGCTGGTGGGGTGCAAAATGGTGCAGCCATTTTGGAAGAAAGTTTGGTGGTTTCTAAAAAAACTAAACATACTCTTAGCATATAATTTAGCAATCATATACCTTGGTAATTTACCCAAATGAAGTGGAATTTCATATCTACACAAAAATCTACACACGAATATTTATAGCAGCTTTGTTCATAATTGCTAAAACTTGAAGTGACCAATATGCTCTTCGGTAGGTGAATGTATAAATAAACTATAATACATCCAGACAATGGAATGTTATTCAGCATTAACACAAAATGTGCTATCAAGCCATGAAAAGACATGGAGGAAATTTAAATGCATATTAGTAAGTTAAAAAAAAAGCCAATCTGAAACAGACTACATACTATGACATTCTGGAAAATGTAGAACTCTGGAGACAGTAGTAAACATATTAGTGGGTGCCAGGGGTTAGGGGGTACAAAGGGATGAATAGGCAGAGCACAGAGGATTTGGGGTGTAATAAAACTACTCTATATGGCACTACAATGGTGGGTACATGTCAGTATACATAGAATGTACAACACCAACAGTGAACCCTAATGTAAACTATAGACTGTGAGTGACAATGATGTGTCAGTGTAGGTTCATTAACTGTAATAAATGTACCACTAGGGTGCAGGATGTTGACAGTGGGCAGGCTGTGTGTATGTGGGGACTGAGGGGATATGAGAACTCTATACTTTCTGTTCAATTTTGCTGTGAACCTAAATCCACTCTAAAAACTAGTTTATTAATGAAATATACACATACATACAAATATGTATTATACATGTATATATTGCCCCCCCCAAGACTTGTTGAATCACAATCCCCAATGAATAGCCCAGGATAATTTTTTTTAATCAGGAGATTCTGATGATACACCAGGTTTAGGAACAAATAGTGGAGAAAGCATGGTATTTGGAACTGGACAGACTTGAGTTTGAATCCTGGAGTTGCCACTTTCTAGCTGTGCAACTTTGCACATGTTATTAACCTCTCTGAAATAGGGAGTCACCATAATTATCCACAGGGTTCACATGACAATTGAATGAGATGACATACTATGACCTGAGCATGATGGACAGTAGGGGCTACAAAGGCATATGGGCCTAATCACCAGAAAGAACCACATCCTGAGCAAAGCCAGGGGATGGCACAGACACTTCCTTGGTCTCCCCTCACCCCCAAGTCCCCCCTCAGTCATTGCTGATTCTCCCTCCCAGAAGTGCCTGGATATCCCTTCACCCTTGGACTCCCTTCCCCTTCCTTTTGTAATCCATTCCCCTCTCGGTTCTGACTTGATCAGCTGCTGCGTCCTGTGCCAGCAGGTCCCATATATCCTGCCTCTTTATGTTCTGCAGAGAAGAAAGCCAGACAAATCTCTCTCTACTAGTATTAATCACCTCTCACGACCTCCTTACTAAGTCATTATGTTAAAAACAAAAAACGCTTCCTTACGTTAAGCTGCTCTAGCAGAAAGGGCTGCTGGCTGCTCTCCCTAGCACAGCTCAGGCCCAGGCCCAGGGACCAGGAACTTGTTCTCTGGGATTGTAGCAGGAGGCACAGTCGCACTCCCCACTGTGGGTGCTGGATGCTCAGCCTCCATTTTCCATGGTCTCTCCCTCTCTCTTTTTACCTGGGTCACCTTGAAAGCCATGCTGGCTTCCAGGCCTACCCATTGATAACACAGGAAATCAGGCTATGCTGAAAACTAACTTCAAAATATTAATATATTAGGATTTGCCTTTCGTGTTGGACTAAGGTGAGAGAAGCGCTCACCATGTTTGCTGCAGCATGGCATCCTGGTTTTCCTTCTGCTCCTCAAGCCATCACTTCCCAGTCTCCTTGGCCATTTCATCCCCACCCACCAGCCTCTCAATGTCGGACTCCTCAAGCCTTCAGGCCTTGGTCCTGCTCTTCTCACTCGACCTCTCTCATGACTATGGTTTCAGTTTTTCTCTACTCAGGAATGATCCCCAAACCTGCGTCTCCAGCAAAGACCTGTCCTGTGAACTCCATGCCTATATATCTAATGGTCTACTCACCATCTACCCTGGTACATTGCAAAGGCATCGCAAATTCAGCCTACTCTAAACCAAATCTGTATCTTCCTGCTATATTCCTGGTCCTCCTCTAGAATTCCCCATCTCAAGAACTGATAACACTCGCTGTCCCTTGAATTTGAATGTCTTTTGGACACTTCACTCTCCCTCATCAACCATCATGAATCCTGTTTGGTCAGTTTTACATATTTGTAGAGCCCATCCATGTCCTTCCATAAGCCCCCACCCCATCATCTTTGTTCTCCTAACTGCATTCCCCACACCCATAACTGCTCTTCTTTAGTCTAGTTTCCACACTGCAGCTAGAGCGATCATTTTTTAAAGTAAATGTAATCATGTCACTACTTGGCTTAACACATGTCAGTATCTGCCCGTTGCTCTTAAGACCAACATCTTATAGTGCCCATCAGGCCCGACCTGAGCTGTCCCTGCCTAGCTCTCCAGCCTCGTGTGAGCTGCTATCCCTCTCACTCTGAACTGCAGCCAGCTGACTTCTTACAGTTCCTTCCAACAAATCATGTTCTCTCCTACCTCAGGGCTATTGCTCATGTTGCTTCCTCTGTCTGAACACCCCCTTAAAACCCCCAACCTTCCATCTTGTTCTGAAAAATTACTTCCTCAGGAAACTTTCTTGGACTGCCTCCTCACCCCTCTCCTTCTTGTATTAGTTTTCTAGGGTTACAATAACAATGTATAGCAAGTTGTGTGGCTAAAAACAGCAGAAATGTGTGGTCTCACAGTTCTGGAAGCTAGAAGTCTGAAATCAAGGTGCTGGCAGGGTTGGTTTCTTCTGAGGACTATGAGGAAGAATCTGTGCCAGGCCTCTCTCTTAACTTCTGGTAATTTGGGGCAATCTTCAGCATTCCTTGGCTCTTAGAGGCATCACCCCAATCTCTGACTTCACTCTCACATGGTATTCTCCTTGTGTGCATGTCTGTGTCCAAATTTCCCCTTTTCATGAGGACATCAGACATATTGAGTGAAGGGTCCAACTTACTCCAGTATGACCTCATCTTAACTAATTATATCTGCAAAAATCTATTCGCCAGTAAGGTCACATTCTGAGGTGCTGGAGGTTAGAACTTCAACACATCAATTTTGGGGGAAGGAACACCATAACAACCCATAACACCTCCCATTTCCAAGGTGGGGAGTCCTCCAGTTATACATTGTCATTGTCCTGCCCTATATTCTTTTTCTTCAAAGCACTGATTAGTTTGTGATTATTAATCCAATAATCAAACAAGCAAAAGCATATTTGTTCCCCCCATAGATTGTGAGCTCCATGAGGGACCATTTTTGTTACCCATTATCCCCCATTCCTGGCATGTAGCAGCTATTCAATGAATACTCACTGGGTGGAGGAATAAACTCTGTGAGCCTCCAGGTCCTTGACGGCATGTCCACGGGAACAGACCAGCCTTGACGCCCCAATCCTACGCAGTCACTTCCTGTGCTCCAGGTTCCCGAGCATTAAGTCATCTCAGGCACATGGGGCTGGAGGCAGACCCACTGGTTCATCAGTTGCTGCCCAGTCTTAGTGACTCCTTGAAACTCCAGCATCACCTCCCCGTAAAGCCAACCCAATGCTAGAAAGAGCCATCTCTAAAATTTGTTAGCATACTGTACTTTCATTTTCAATGTGCCGAATAAGCACCTGTGATTATTACTGAGGCAGCTGAGGGAACTTCTCTGGAGATCTTAAAAACAGGTCACTCCCTTAGGACCAGAAGAGCTCAGCTGGCTGGTTAGGGATAAATAAAGTAAAGTAACTTCCTGGTGACTTCTTCATCCTAATCCTCGAAGATCCTCATTGTTTGATTACTTCGGCTGTGGTCCCTCAATGCAGATAGAAAAGGACTCTTACTTAGTTTTTTTCACTCTCTGACCAACATTTAGATCAGTAAGTCACTGGCAACAGTGCAATAGAACAATAAAGAACCCAGATAGGCTGGAAAGCCTTTTGCGCCGATACGACTGTAATCCTGTTGAAATTGCCTTCTCTGTGTGCTCTCAGGAAAAGTGCTGCTTTTACAACGTGTTAAGATAGTTTAATGCCTAGCTTTTATGTTTCACCATCTCATGGCATGAGGAATGCTGAAAATGCTCTAAATGTTGGACTTCTAGAAGCTTGAACCCATCGACCTGCCACAAGTAATTACTTCTGAAAGGATTCTGAGCCAGCATGAAGCCAGGACAACTCACAAAGCAAAGGTGACCTGTGGCGATAACCGGTGAGGGTGGGTAACGGGAGGAACGGGCTGTCCTCTTCATGTACTCCCTGCACAAGGCAAACTATTAAAGTCATTCCGAGTTAGAACTTTCCAAAGCTATCCATTTTCTCCTGGGCCTGCCTCCAACTGGCAACTGCTCTTGCCTCTCAGGTGAACCTGGGGCCCTTCTTTGCTTCCTGGTGAAACAGGGAGCAGTAGATGAGAGAGAAAGAGGAATTTTACTTGGATATTGGTGATTCTAGAAGTGTTCAAAGTTGTGAAAAAATCCAGCATAACTCTTCCCTTTCATTCTTCCCCTCAGATTAAAACTTTCTTTGTTCTCAGTTTTCAGGGTAAATCATATCTGCGAGTTGTTCCTGACTTATTTACCACAAGCTCACCAAAAAGTAATCCTGGAAAGGGTCTTCTGTAGAGCATTTTCCTTTTATAAATCTGTCACACTCTGCCGAGAAAACTTCCCTCAGGTAGAAATGTAAAGTGTGAGACCAGAGTGGATTTTTAACACTTTCCACTTCCGGTCCATTTAGGAGCCAGCCACGCTCATTGGGTAGAAGATGTCCAGGTACTTTTGGATTCTCCAGGTCATGTGTGTGATGCTGACAGCCCCTGCAGAGATGGGTCCACCCTGAGGCTCGCATTGGCAAGCACGGGCACTGTCCACAGGGCGACACAACAGACATCTCTGAACACATTGGGCTGCCGTATCCTTTCCCTTTCCTGGCCACAGCAAGTGATGAATGAGGGTGCATTCACCCCTGGTTGCCCTCAAAAACTGTCTGCACTGTCCCACTGAAATTTATAATGCACCAGGAAGAGCACCAAAGTCACACATAATCAACTTCAAATCCTTCCTAAACTGCAATATACCAGGGCTTTTATTGGTGTGTGCAGGTATACTACAGAAATAGGTTCCATGTCACCATTCAGGGGCTCCCCTCTGTCACAGCCAGACAATGAGTCAGTGGTAGAAGAGGCAGGGAGAGAGGGAGAGGCAGGGCTCATCAAACCAGAACACACTTCTGGGAAGTTAGTAGGAGGCATCTGTTGACAGGGGAAGTGATCTCTTGTCAAAATGAGACGTGGGAAGGTAATTCCGTTCAAGGTTTGCAAAACTCTACAGGAGTCTTAAAAATTACATTCGACGTATTGCAAATTGCCACTTCATTCACTGATAGCTACACGAAGGATTCATGGGGAACTGCAATGATGCTCCTTTGACATCACAAGAGACCTGTGTGGATGACGATTTGGTGATTAAGATCTCACCCTGTCCCAAAAAAAGGATTTCAAGTTGTAGGTTGCAGAGTCAGTAACTAATTACCCCCTCCCATGCTAACGAGTGTATCATCTTTCATAGCAGGAACTGGAAAAAAAGATGCAAACTCCAATGTATACTTCTGGGAAAAGACAATATTTACATAAGATGCAAATGCTGGAAATGAACCGTAAAAGACAAGAGGTAAATATGAGAAGAGAGAAGGAAAGTGTCACATTTACCAAATTCTCTCCACATAATTACTGCCCTGGCACATGAATATAGTTAAGCATTCATCTCCAGCCTTTTCTTAGCATTTTAAATTTAGTCATTGGAGCCGAAGATTCAACTACTAAAGTTGGGAAGAACCAGCAAGATCCCTTCTGTTACCACCCTGCTGAGTCTTTTCTCTATTTTCAGTCCTCACACTAGTGTATCTGTGTCTTAAGTCTCTTTTTTTCACCGTTGCTTCTATGACATTCTAGCTCCAGCAAGAAAATGAGGTTAGATCATTTTTCGTGGTTTAGTAAAAGGGAAGGGGGTGATTGGTCTTTATTTTGCTACCTAGGTATCTCTCTATAATTTATGTAGAATTATCTTACAAGAAAGATCTCTTGTAACAAACCCCTTTATAGTAATGTCTTCCATAACTCGCATATTCCAAATTTCTCACTCCAGTGAATCAGCCTAGAGTCACTGTCTTCAGCAATTCCAAATATATCAGCTAGCCTACAGAAAAAATGTTTTTACCAAGGTCCTCAGTTTTGTGAGACTGTGGGCTTGCCCTTCCTTTCTCTAATGAACCTGTGCATAAAGAAAGTTTTTGTACCTTCTAACAGGAAAAAGAGAATCATATTCTGATTAGAGGACCACAGGTGTCTCTAGATAAGCACACATCTAGCAAAGTGGCTGGTCCATTGACCGATTCTGGTGAAAGTAGCTGTGGGGGAAGAACATTAACCGTTGATAGCTGATCATTTTCAGGCCCAAGAGGAGTTGAAGAAAAGTCATAGAGAAGCAAGAATTACTAAGCAGAAACTGAGGGACCCTAAAGCCAAGCAAATTCTTCAAAGCATCCCAGGAAATGATGATGATGACTTTCTAACCTTTTTGCCTGATGAAACCTTGGACCGAAGACCACGTGAGTCATGTAACTTTTTTAGTAAAATAAAATACTTCAAGTGTTTTCAAAACGTCATCAAACTGCTAGGGGAAGGGGCGTGGGAAAAGACAGCAAATAGCCTTGGGTTCCCGCTGATATTTTACTCCTGGGAACATAGGGGGCAAGTTGTCAGGCAATGGAAAATGGCTGGGACGAAAAGACACAAGTTTAAGCACTGTAGTAAGATGTCTCCTTCTCTTTAGAGGTTTACTGTACTTTGCATGCATTCTTGCAACCTTAGCTCCATCCCTAGGAGGAGAAAAAGCAAAAGAGCCTCATCTTGCGGCGAAAGAGAATGAAGCACGTGGAGATAATATTAAATGGCAAATTGGTATCAGCCAGTTTGGTGCCATAGGCAGACACTCTTGGCCCCACCTCACCCTTCCTCCTGCAGCCCTTCTCAGCACATTCAGGAGGTCTAAAACTCAATCCAGCATTACTGCCCACTCTGAGCTTGCTCCTGTATCATCCACTGTCTCCGTGGGTGAGGCCTCCGTGCTCTGTCACTCAGACAGGAGACTTGATGTGTTTGAAACCCTTTGCTCCCTCTCCTTGCAGCTGGTCAGTCACAAAGTCCTATTGATGTCACCTAGCACTCTCTCCCCCATTCCCCATGACATACCAGGGCTATTGCTACAGTCTCCTGACTGTACTCCTCCCTTAGGTCTCACCCTCCTTCTGTCAACCCTCCACCCCAGTGGTTCTCCATGTGGTCCCCCGACCCCTAGCACCAGCATCACCTGGGAACTTGTTAGGACCCCAGTCAGAGTAACTGAATCTGAAACTGTAAGAGTGGAGCCCAGCAATCTGGGTTTAACAACCCCCCACCCTGGTGATTCTGATGCCCCTAAAGTTTCAGAACCACTGATCAACTAGGTAATCAAAGTATTGTCCACAGGTTACCTGGGAGTTTATTAAAAATGCTGAATTTCGGACCACACCCCAGACCTATTGAATCAGGCCCGCATTTCATCAAGATCCCAAGGTGATTCTCACACACAATAAAGTACTAGGAGTGTTGCACTCATAGCAGGGTAATCATAAAAAATGCAAATCTGACTGTTTCATTCTTTTGCTAAAAAACAAAACAAACAAACAAACAAACATACAAACAAACAACTCTTTCAATGAGTCTCCGTTAGCCTGAGCATATCGTCTGCACTCCTTTTCCTGGTACTCTAAGCCTTCAGGATCTAGCTGTTGCCTACCTTCCCGGCTTCATCTCCTGCCAATCTCGTGCCCAGCCCCCACACTCGAGCCATGACATTGGTTGCTCCACGGCCTCAAATTGCTCTGTGATTTCCAACAGATACCTGTGTCTATCCTCTGTGTTATGTTGCCCCATCAATTAAATCCCCATTAAGTTTTCCCTGTCTGTATTCCCCAGGAAAACCCTCCATTGCAAATGTACAATATTGTCCACGCTTGCAGATTGCTGTGCTGTGGGCCAAATGCCCACCTCAGCAAGACTGACCACAGAGAGATCTACAGAAATGCTGGCCATGCCTCTGGAGGTCTTGAGCTTTTAAGAGGCAACACTGCCAGCTGAAAGAGACAACCGCTGCTGCTCAGAGGAACAAGATGCTTAACCAATAACTTAATTAAATAAGAAAAGGCTGAATAATTGAAAATCTACTGGGGGCACCTACTTAACCTATACTATACTCCTGAGTCCCAGAATGAAATATGCTGTGTAGTCACATAGAGAAACAACTTTTGCAATTGAAAAATATTGGCAAAACAACCAAGAAAAGTGCTTCAGGTACACTTGGACACAGAGTCATGGCTTGAGGTCAGGCCAAGAAACACCATCATTGGTGAAGTCTCTGGAAGATGCCCCAGAGGGTCCCGGGAGAGACGGTGACACATGGTGAAGGGGATTTCCTTTGCTCAGCTTTTTAGAGCTGTTTCATTTTGTTCCAGCTAAGGTTTATTGAGTGCTTACTATAAGGCAGTCACTGTGGTCTGCCCTTAACATGTATTATTAAATTTAATCCTTACACAACCTATCAGGTGGGAGTTACAACTAGCCCCTATGTGACAGAGCCAGGATTCAAGGCCAGGGCCTTTTGACGACCCTCAAATGAGCCCTCCTACCCACCTCTTGTGCAGCCTCATCAGGACTCCAGGGAGTCGGAGCTCTGTCCAGGGCAACCTTGGGAAAGTCTGCAAAAGTAGAGGCTGTGACTCCTTAACCTTCTCTCTCAAGAAAAGGCTGCCTTCTGCAAAGCCTATAGACTTGACCACTGCAGTAGGCGTATGTTGAAGCAATGATTTCTTTTTCCTGATGGCCAAATAGCATCTTTGATTTCTTTCCCTGTGTTCTAAAAGAAGTTCACTTTTCTTTCTCCTAGAAGTGGAGTGTAACCAAGGTCATAGACTTACATGAGCGTAATGCTAGTCAGGTTCTGGTAATTAAGGTTCCCCTGTACCCATCTCCTCTTAGTCAGTGCTAGATTTGCCAACTCTTGTTCCCTCTTTTGGAAGATGGGATGAGAGTTTCAGGTCTCTTATGAGATAAAAATCAGTCTTTGTTTTCTGCTGCCTCTTCAAAATGAAATCACCCATGCTTTACATACATTTTATATATATTTATATAATAAATTTATATATATATATGTACATGCACATATGTATGTATAGAGATAGATGATAGATAGATAGATAGATAGATAGATAGATAGATAGATAGATAGATAGACTTACACAAAGTGAACATCCCTCTTTTGGGCTTACAATTCCGTGAGTTTTAACATGTTTATGTGGTTTTTGCCCTTTCCAGGAGCCATGATTTGAATATAGGGGGTAAAAACAGCTGTGGATTTGAAATCAAAGTCCTTCATTTGAGCCCCAACAGTACATTTACTAAATGGAATGTCCGTGGGAACAGGGAGTTTTCTTGTTCCTAGAACAGTGCCTCGTATATAGTAGCCTCTCAATAAATGTAAGGTATATATTTGTCTGTGTAGGCTTACTTTATATAGAGAGAGATTATAACTAAATTCTAATTATTTAATCTTTGTGGACCTCAGTTTCCACATCTGTAAAATGGGAATAAAGCATTTTCTACCATGTAGGGTTTATGTAAAAAATAATATATGTATGTACAAAGCACATATAAAATGTAAAGTGCCACATAAATGCATGGGAATATGGACAAAACTGAAGAAAGATGGAACTGATGTCTTATAGTGAAAATAACTATATGTGTCAGGGGAAGTGTCACCTTAAATACATCATTTTAATGTCACCTTCACAATTCTGGTCTTATCTGGCCACCTGTACTTAGTATTTTTGTTTAAGTTATCTCTTAAAAACAAGGGCAATTTTCCTACATAACCACCATACAATTATTATTCTTAGAAATTTTTACATTGATACATACTATTTTCTAATATATAACCCATATTCAAATATCCACGGTTGTCCCAAAAATGCCATTTATAGCTATTTTTTATTTGCCTCTTTGTGTTTTATTTTTTAGATCCAGGGTCCAATCTAGGATCATGCACTGCATTTTATTTTCTTGTCTCTTAGTCCCCTTTAATTAAAGAACAATCTCCTATCCTTTTCTTCATTCTTATCTTCTTTTTGCCTTCCTGCCCTTGTTCTTAGGAGGCTTGTGGTGATGTATGTGTGACTCTGCAACTAATTTTTTAATAGTTCAGCTGAAAAGTGTGTTTGTGTGTGTGTGTGTGTGTGTGTGTGTGTGTGTGTGTGTATAGTGACAAAATATTGAGGGGTTGGGGTATACAGGTTTGTACTATTCTTGTGACTTTCAAAAGGTTTAATTTTTTTAAATAACAAGAAAAACGTGTTTAATGCTTCCCCTGTTGTAATCCTTAATATGTATATATATTATATATTTTTAAAAATCAAGCAGATTACTCTGTATTCTTAAAAACCTAGGCAATTAAATAAGTACATAATTGTCAGAGAAAAAAATTAATTAAGTGAATTTTTAATTTTTTGTAGGAAATTTACAGAATGCAGAATTTTTGGAACATCAAGCAACGAACGACTACTGTCCCCGGAAAATCGGCAAAATGGAAACATGGCTCCGTGAACAAGAGGCCCGGGGACAGCTTCTCTGGGACAGTTCCAGCTCTGACGCAGATGAGTTGGGGGATGTTGAGAAGAAACCACGGGCACTGGTGAGGACCAGGACTGAGAGAATTCCACTTTTTGATGAGTTTTTTGATCAACAATAAGAATGCTATTCATAACCTAGATACTGAGCGCTTCGAAAACTTGCTTTCCTGTAAAAATTCTCCAAGTTTGTATACATCAATTCATTTTCTTTTCATTTACAGTCTTACGATTAACAGTGGTGACCTATTTTGTTAGTTATGCTACATAACTAACTGCCTCAAAACACAGGGGCTTAAATAGCGGCCATTTATTGTCCCTCCTTCCTGTGGGTTGCTGGCTTGGCTAGGTGGCTCTTCGGCTGATCTCTTTTGAAGGACTTCTTGTAGTTGAAGTCAGAAGGCAGCTAGAGCTGGAGTCATCTGGAGGTTTGACCAGGACACTGAATCAGCTGGACCTTCCTCCCTCTCCATGTAGTCTCGGAGCCTCTTCGCATGGTTTCTCCAAGGTAGTGAAGTTTTTACACTATCAGCCCAGGGCTCCCCAAAGCAAATGTTCCAAGAGGAGGAAGCAGAAGCTGCCAGCCCTCTCAAAGGCTAGTCATGGAATGGGCTCTGCATCACGCCCACCACATTCTACAGAGGGTGCCAAAAAAATGCATACACATTTTAAGAAAGGAAAAAACTATTAAAATTGCAATACATGAATGACACTAGTATCCATTTCATTAACGCCATCTTTTGAGCAAACGCCGTACTACACTATGCTCTATTGTTAGCATAATCTAAAAAAAATAACAAAAAACTTTTAGCCATTCGGGAGTTACTAAGAATTTATTGAAACTTTTAAAACAAAGCAAAACAAAAACACCTTTGAAGCCTTCTCTAGGAAATTTTCAAAAAGAAGAAAATAGAGGGAAACGCCTCCTGAATTTGACATCCAGTGCATTCAGATCAGTCTCTAACAAGATAAAAAGACTGCTGTGTCAGGGGATAAGCATTATGTTTCTTCCAAGGTCGGAAGGCAATTAGGTCATCCCTTTTTACTCCCAGTTCTTTGGGAAAATAATTCTTACTTTTTCTGTGGTAGGTAAAAAGCATATTTTTCCTACAAAGGGATTCAAAATGACTTGACCAATCTTCTTGAAAAAGTCAAATCCTTAAGAGGAGAAATGAGTCCAATCTATTCATAATGTCCTCACATATTATAGTGTATTTGGAAGGCTTAAAACAAAGTGGGAGCTGGCCAAGTGGCTCAGTTGGTTAAGAGCGATTCCCACATAGGTCAGTGAGCTACGCCCAAGCTGAGCTGCCGCTGAGCTGCCAACAGGTGGCAGGATGGCTCAGCTGGTGAGAGCACATGCTCCTAACAGCAAGATTGCTGGTTCAATTCCCACATGGGATGGGATGGGGGGCTGCGCCCCACCGCAACTAAGGTTGAACACAGCACCTTGAGTTGAGCAGCCACGAGTTGCCGACGGGCGACCAGATGGAAACTGGACTTGGAGCTGAGCTAGCTGCGCCCTCCACAACTAAGATTGAAAAACAACAACTTGGCCGTTCCCCTTCCCCAATTCCACAACACTGTTACCCTCCCCCAATTCCCCAATAAAATCTTAAAAAAAAAAAGTGGGGTGGTTGACTTCCAGTGATGAAGATAGCAGAGCCTAAGCATGTCTTCATCACTCTGGTCTGTGACTTGAAATTGAACACCTCTTCCAGAAGCTCACTTGACTGAGCTACATGAGGGCACGGACCATGTCTCCTCCCTGTGGTACCTTCGTTTCCTAGCATGACATCTGGCACAGAGTTCATTATTAAGTGTTTGTTGACTTCATTAATTTATGTGTTGTCTTAACCAGTTAATTACAGAGCCACTTGTTTCTCTCCAGCTAGGCATCATTTCCATCATTTCCCATGAGTCTTAGATGTGCAAGGTTGATTACACAGTAAAGAAGGGGAATTTTTGGTCAAAAGTTCTTGGGACATAGACATCTACACGGATGACATAAATTCAACATCATCTTGGGATACAGGAGCTAGACATGTATGGACACCAATGAGGATGCCATCGCTCAAAATAGTGTTCAAAACTGTATCAGAGTGTGTTTGCTGCAAAAGAAAGTCAATCATAACGCCTCCTCTGTGGGAGTTTGCCTGCTCCATGTGGAACTCTCCCTCGCCCAATTATAAATTCAAGGATTTGAAATTATAATAATAATCATGGTAGTGATAACTATAATGTGCATTGACTGCTTACTGTATATCAGACATTCTTCAAATGCTTTACATACATAACCCTCAGAACTTTGTGGGTCAGTATAATACCATCCTGAGGTACAGAGAGGTTAAGTAACTTGCCAAAACCACCCAGCAGAACTGCCATGTGGAGTAGCCTGCTGCTTACCAGAGGGGATTTGATGAAAGTCGGGGGCACTTCCCTCCTCTCCCTATTTTACCCCCACTCACCAACAGTATTCCATATTGTTTTTTCTATTATGTGTTGGGTTTGTCGTTATTGTTGTTGTTTGTTTGTTTGAAGAGGGATACTCCTATGCTGGAAAGGGTGAGAGCTTCATGGGATTATTTTTTAGCAAGAAAGAATGTCCTTGGAGCCTGATAGCTTTGCTGTGGGCACAGGTCAGGATAAGAGTTCCTGAGAAATATATCAGGAGGGGAAGTTTCCAGGAGTGGGGGGAGGGGTACAGAAAGGTGGATGAGAGAGTAAGACAAGCGTAACTGTCTTCACAGCTTGGCCTGGGAGCAGGATGGGCGAGCAAGCCCCCCAGACACCCCATCCAGGATGGAATTCAGTTGCACACTGTGGAAAGGGCCAGAGGATAGTGGTTCTCAGTGCCAGGAACAGGTTAGAATCACCTGGTGAATGATCCAAAAAAAATGAATGACAATCAGAATTTATCAGGTCACCTTTTGATTCCTCTAGGTTGGGGTAGAGTTCTGGCATTGGGTTGATGTTGTCTTCTTAAGCTCCCCTGTAAATCTAATGTGCAGCTAAGTTGAAAACCATAGCTTTAGCAGTATGAACATTCTATTTTACAAGATATATCAACTATTTTTATTAAAAGCAACAACTCCTGAGGTAATTTTTCACATGGAAGGAAGGACATGAAGCCTGGAGCTCCACAAACAGTGAGAGAATGTTCATTTTGTTGGTAATTGTCTGAGAACACGAATCCTTTATTTAATCTTGAATTTGTTCTGGAGCAATGCAGGCCATCAGTAAACATAGCTGTTGCTGGTGAAAACCATAAAATTCAACCTAGAGGCAAAGTTGTCAGTTTTCTTCGACTGAAAATCTCCTCAGCTTTGGAAAGAAAAAAGGCTTGTCAATGGCCAAATGTACACTTTCTCTTGTGAAACTAACATTTTCCTGCTTGCTCTGAATTTTTCATAAGAAAGAGAAATGTCTTTTTTTTTTGGCATACTTTTGGAAATGTGCTTTTCTCAACTGTTTTTTCAAGGCAGAGAACCATTTTTCTTCATCTATCTATTTTGATGATAATTCTGAGTTACTTTACCTGGACTTAACTAAAGATGACTCTTGCAAGAGTCATCTGTGAAATAGTCTTATAAACAAAGGGATAACGTTTTCTGCTTGAACAGAGCCTTTAAAAACGGAAAGCTCTTTGTGCAGTGCCCTTTCTTACCAGGAAAACATGCTGATCACCAGATTATAATTCTATCAACCATTTCCTGCCTCAAACAAACAACAAAAGTCTATTTCTACGTATTACTGCAAAACCTCGCTAATTTAGAATACTGTAGGGAAAGGCTTGGGAGAAAGTATGCTAAACGGTAGATCAGGGAAGGAAGGTCAGACCATTAAAAAATCTGAATTACATCTTATTTTGAAAGAAACACTATTTTATGCACGTACAGAATAAACAAAAACACATTTGAAAGCAAAGTCAATAGTTAAGGTTTATTTTCAAATGTATACTTCATAAGTCTGCAACTCATTCGTTTAGTCATGCACTCACCAGACAGATTTTGAGCATCTACAACATGCAGAGCACTGTTCCAGATGCTGAAAGTGCGGCCATGAACAAGACAAAATCCCTGCACCCAGGGGTTCCGTTCCAGTGGGAAGCCCATGAGCAGAGGGTCGAATACCTGATCCAGTGTCCTACAGTATCGAGCACTGTGAAGAAAAACAAAGCAGGGGAGAGGACAGGCAGGGTGAAGGGACTGTTCCAGGCAGGATGCTCAGGGAGGGGCTCGCTGAGGAAGAGACCGGAATGAAGGGAGCGTATAAGCCACCAGAAGACCTGCAGGAAAAGTTTTCCAAACATTCCAAGAGCAAGTACAAAGGCCATGAGGTGAGGTGAGCTTGTAATATTCAAGGACCAACAAGAAAGCTAGAATGGCAAAGTGAGTAAAGGGAAGACTGACAGGGATGACATCAGAAAGGTCACCAGGACCCAGATGGTGAGGAGCCCAGAGGAGGACACTACAAAGATGGGTGTTAAGTGTAAAATAATTTCAGAGACAGAAAGGGGCTGGTCCTAGTCTAGACTGATATCTTCAATATGATCATGAGCAGAGACAAACAGACCCACTAAAGTCACATGGCTGTAGCTGACTGACCTGGAGCTGACCCTTGACCTAACTGAGCCACTCAGAGACAACCTCTGTCTCTGCCAGTTGCAGGAAGCTCTGGAGTGATGGGTAGTGCTGTTCTGCCTGTGAGCCACAGGTGCAGGAACACTGACCTGTGGTAAACAGAGAATTGGAGACAAGGGACTACGGAGACCCCCAGCGTATCTGCTCCTCATTCCCAACCCCCTAAGGCCCTCCTGCTCTTCCTTCTGAGACTGTATCCTTCTAGTAAATTCCACTGTCTGCTCGGGCCAGCTCCAACTCATTTCTGTTTCTTAAAACCAGAGAACCTCAACTAATAGATAATCACAAACACCACCGCCCCTTGCTTCATGGTGTAACGCTAAAATCTGCGGTGTGCTGGAATGGGCGAGAGTGGCCAGTTCTGGCTTCCGAAAGGAATTGTGAGGATCTCCTCCCAAATCCACGTTCAGTGATGCTATGTCAGCCAGAGTGGGAGTATTTGTACCACAAAAATTGGCAAATGTGACAAACCAGGGCTTTTGTTTCAGAGAGCTGGACGTTAAGCAATGACTAGCACACCTGCCTACAGGTAAAGACCAACAGGCTCCAGAGTCACAGTTCATGTCCTGGCTCTGCCGCTTCTGGTCTTAGGTAAGCTATTTTACCTCTCTGGCCAGTTTGCTCATTGTAAATTGGAGGTGCGACAGTACCTACTTTACAGGGCTGTAATGACAGTGAAGTAAGAGCACGCAGGTAGAGTGCTGGCAACAGTGCCTGATACATAATAACTGCTTAATACATGTTAGTTCATGAGCAGCATTACTCCCATTGAATTAGGAGTAAAATAAGAATTTTGGGGGGGTTCTAGAAGTCTACTTTGCTCCACAAAACATGAGACAAAAGCCAGAAGTACATACCTATGAAACTGAAAAAGAATTTACCATGATTCACAGATGATGTGACTATATGCCTAGAATACCCAACAAATCAACTGAAAAAGTGTTAGAATTAATAATGGCGTTCAATAGCTATCGGGGGGGAAAATAGATATATTTTAAAAATCAACAGCTTTTGCAAACCATTTTTCAGACTTTATCCAATGAGAACAAACATACCAGTGTGCAAAGATAAATGTTCAAGCATAAGTAGTGGGTTCACTATAACATTACGTGAAGGTAAATTGTGATATGCTGAAGAAATATACTATAAGCCCTATACCAACCACAAAAAAAGAAGAATAGCTAATAAGTCAAAGAGAAGATAAAATCATATCACAAAAAATATTCAATCCAAAAAAGTCAGAAAAAGAGGAAAAGGGTGGACAAAAGAGAAGGTGCAAAACCAGATCCAAATACCAAGGTGGCAGAATTAACTCCAGTTTAAATGCAGAGATGGTCAGTTTAGATAAAAGAGCAAGAACCAACTTTGTGCTATCTACAAGAAACAACTTTGTGCTATCTACAAGAAACAAACCTGAAATATCATGATACAAATAGGCTAAAACTAAAAGGATGAACAAAGGTATTGCATGCCAATGCTAACCAAAACAAAGCAGACTTCCGAGCACAGAACAGGCATCATCACTGTTAGCAGCCGAAGTTATATATCCTTCAAGTTTAGCAAAGGCAGAAATAAAGATCACATTGCACCCCACCACCATCACCATGAAAATTAAATCTGATAGCCATGCTGAGTCACATCCCCACCCTTTGGAAAGGTGGGTCC